ACTGCAAACAGAAACTGGCAGACTTCTTCTGCTCCAGTCCAAATTTAGATCTGACTCACTTCCGTTCATCCCGATGGTCTTTGGCTGCCACAGTATTCTTACCTCAGCTGGATCCACAGCACTGTGATTCAGCAGAAGACACCAAAACTGGCAGGGACACCAGCAACACAAGGTCATTTTTAATTCATAAACTGTGATGTGATGCCTGGGATCTACGTTTCCGATAAACAAAAGTCCTGAGAGCTCCTGGCGGCCAGTGCAGCTCTGGTGGACCAGCACTGGCCTTACAGCAGGCAGTGAGTCAGGGCAGGACACAGCAGCCGCCACAGGCAAACACCAGACAGGAAGTGGCTGCTCAGGCTGCTTAATGTCAGTGGATATTTGCTGTCACTGGGTGGGCTACTGCTTCCTGCAGGGCACAGCTGCATTTACCAGAGGACAGCCTCATCTTAATGGGCCGCAAACACATAATGAGAAGAGGAGGAGCAGGAGGAGGAGGAGGAGGAAGAGGAGGAGGAATGGATGCAGTGAAAGTGACAGCCAAATCCATTTCACCCCCGGGGAGCTGTTTCTTTGTATTCTGCTTCATTTCTTTGGACCAAAGTATTCAAGTCCACTTACTGAAGAAAGGGTGACAATATATGTATATATGTTTTAAAAAATATATCCACATGTATATATTTACATATACGTATACACATACATACTGTATACTGTATATGTAAAGGAATTTCAAATGGACCCATTCTTTGCGTGAGTTAATGAAGTTAATTAAGTAAATATATATACACATACATACATAAATATATATATATATTTACATATATACAGTAAATACATATACTGTATATGTAAAGGAATTTCAAATGGACCCATTCTTTGCGTGAGTTAATGAAGTTAATTAAGTAAATATATATACACATACATATATAAATATATATATTTACATATATAAATATATATACTATATATGTAAAGGAATTTCAAATGAACCCATTCTTTGCGTGAGTTAATGAAGTTAATTAAGTATATATACACATACATATATAAATATATATTTACATATAAATACATATAGTGCATATGTAAAGGAATTTCAAATTAACCAATTCTTTGCATTAGTTAATGAAGTTAGTGAAGTGAATATATATACACATACATATATAAATGTATATATACATATATTTATACATAAACACCTAAGCTAATGTTATGTACAATTAGCATGTTTTGAAATAAATTAAAAATAAATTCAGGTTAACTATCACTCATAGAGTGATATATTCATATATTTATCTTAAGCTTCATTCATTTGTTTTTGTGTGTGCACGCTTCGAGGTTTCATACTCGGATGTTAGCAGGAAGCAGCAGCAGCCATATTGATCACTTTTATTGCATTAGCTCATTTAATTATGAGGCCCATGACGACGGCTCGTGGCGTTGTATTTCCAATGAATAAGAAGAGAGAATGGCAGAGATACAAACAACACAGCACTCATAACATATAGAATCGTGTTTATTGTCAAGTCACCAAAGCAGGAGCGCAACAGTAAAATGTCAGATCAAACATTTTGATCTGACATATATATATTACCAGATACAGAGCTGGTAATAAATGATCAGAAAACACTGCAAAAACTGGAGGATATTTGTTTGATTCAAAGATTGTCTCATTAAAAAATATTTCCTTCTTGAGATTTGCTTTTGAATCAAATAGAAAAAAAACCAATGGTGTCTCCCTCTACTGGTCAAGCACCAATTATCATCATTTCAGAAACAATGTGTTATTTAAGAACAAAGTGTATATTTTGGTTTTGCAAATGAAATAATCATCTAGTCAGTGCAGAAAAATACAGTGGTTAAGGAAAAGTATTTCACACGATGTAACCTTTTTCCACCTGCCAATTGTTCGTATTTATGCAGATGATAACCTGAGTGTAATACAACGAGTACACGTTAATCAAACACAAAGGTCATTTATTTTACGGAATATTCCTTTATCCCACACTGACACTGACACATCCTCTCAGTAAAATCACACCTGGCAGCAAGTGCAGATTTTTAACAAACAGCTCAAACTTAAGTTCGCATAACCGGATAAAATTATTATTATTATTATATTTTTTTCTAGTATTCTGTGTGATCTAGTTAGAGAAATAACTTTCATAAAATAACTATTATGAAACACACCTGTGATTAAAAGGAGTCACAAAAAAAAAAAGAGCTTGGATGTAAACTAGCAATCCTCGGAGTTTTTCCATTTCGTTTACAAACGTTTAAATTGTTTGCCTTAAAAACGAACGAACAAACGGTCTGTAGTGACATTTTTTTACTTCGTCAGTTTTACGTCAATATGTAGACGGAACAGAAGTCTGACGGTCACTGATAACAACCCACCTCTCGTCCTCGAGTGTTCATGTAATATGGCTTATGTTGATTTAGCGCTAGGCTAAAAGAGCAGCTACGTTTTTGGTTGCTGTTCGTGGTCGCCGTTGAGAGGTGGTGAATGGGTTAAACCGATTCCTTAACCATGGCAACCCGACAAAGTCCATTTGTGATTAACATGTCAGCCTAAAAACCTATTTTACGAGACCAACTCATTCAGATAATTTCAATATGCATCTGATTTAAGTGTCTCAAACGGACTTTATTTCCCTCACTATCCTCCACGCCAACAATTTTTCACAGAAAATAATCATCAATTTTTTTACCACACGCAGAAAGCAAGTATTTAGTGCAAAACCCCAGTTCACGTTAGCACATCTAACTTAGGATTCAAGGTCTATTAATCTCCTCAACCTGCGACGCCACCTCGTCTCCTAAGCAATGACGCAGGAGTCGTTGCTCTTCTTGAGTGAGCGGTCTGAGGTAGACGGTCTATAGAGTGGAGCTGATTGGCTGTGCTGATTTTGGACAACGCTGGACCTGGAACTTTGACGCGCAGGTACGGGTTGAGAGGACGCAAAACTGGACTGGGACTGACTGAGGTGGTACAGAGCAGTTGCGGATGCAGCTGTTGTGCTAGGTTGGTATGTGGTTTTGCCGGGGTTAGCTAAACGGTAATACGGTGATTGACTTGAAGTGGTCACGGTAGGTTGGGTTACACCAGCTGTCAATGTTGCACCGCCGCTATAAGACGGGCTCCCTGACTCCCTGTACTGCAGCAGGTATTCTGGGTACACTTGGGGCCTGTCAAACACAACAAATATGGTCGGGTTTTTGGGGTCATCCACACAGCTGTCGTAGAGGTTTATGTCCCCGCCGTCCTTGGGAGGAGGTCGCAGGAGGTCTGAGGAACCTTTGGTGTATTCTCCCACCAGCACCCGAGCCACAAACATGGTTCGGACCGTGTCAGACTCGGAGGTGAACCTGTGGGAGTACTTGGCGTCACGGGCGAAGTAGCTACCTGATTTTCGGGAAAGATGAAAGACGTCCCGTTTTTGACATTATTGATAATGCAAACACAGAAAAACACAAAGTGAGGATCTCTGCGTCGTACCTTTTCCGTAAACGGTCCCGTGAGTTCCGCACAGTCTCCAGTCAAAGTTGCCGTGACAAATGGAGTCTATGTGTTGGGAGTAAGTGCCGTGGAAAAGCATTTTCTCCGACACATAACGTCCACCGTTCTTGACCTTCATCTGGATCTTCTGCCTTCAGGTGAAAATACTACGTAGTTAATGCTGGTTAATGAGGTTTGTCTAAAGGAATGTCAAGGTTCAAGGTTTGTCAAGGATCAAGTCTCTTTGTCACTGTATTCGCAAACAACAAAATTTAGAAGTAGACCAGTAGAACTGCACTACATAAGACACAGTTTCCCAAAGACTGGGTCGCGACCCTCAGGTGGGTCATCTTGGGGTCCTCTCGCATCATGTTCCCAGGAGTTTACGAATAATGTCTATCGACTTGGGTCGCAAAGGTTTGTGAAAAAAAAGACCAGAAAAAAAGTTTGGGAAATACTGACATAAGTGAAATAAAAAATATTGTACACAATAAAAGAAATATATGATAAAAATATGTCAAATATAATTGGAGAAATATACCCACGCATGTGTGGGTATATATATTTTTCTAAATTGTTTTGTTACCTAACGTAAGGTTCACTTTCAAAATACAGTTCACAGGTTCAAAAATATTTGGCAAATATTGGATATGGAATTTTGTGACTTACAAGTGAAACGCTTCCCAGAGCGTTTTGTTCTGAATCCTCTGGATGCTGATGATGTCGAAGCCTCTCATGGTTTTACAGAACAGAGTCTCGATCTCCTCAAATTCATCAGAAGGGTACTGCAGGGTGACCCGCTGGGAAACAAGAAGCGACATTTACTCTGTAGAACAGTGAATGGAACATTCTTTTATTTTGAAGGCCTAGAGCCTTTGTCCTTTTTTTTAAAGAGAACTGCCTGACATCTGTGACGACACACAGACTGATGTGGTCCAAACACTGTTTATTACTGACATCTGTGACGACTGATGTGGTCCAAACACTGTTTATTGTTTAAAAGAATATTTCTTTGTGGCTCAGCACCAAATGCACCACGACCCTGGGGTTGAAAACCACCAAAATCATATACGACTGTTCAGTCATTTCCAGCCGTTACATTCACTGTTACTGAACTCTTACATCCACCATGTGCTGTACAGCAGTAATAGTCTTTAACCAACCATCTGTAGTGTATTCACCTTGAATCCTGTTGCAGGAATCTCTGCCTTATCCCATTGATTTGGTATGGGGCAGAAATTCAGATTCCCCTGGGGCTTCCTGTAGACACAGAGAGGGTAAATAAGTTCATGTTTCTTTTTGGTTTTCTCTGAACAACACAAACACAGAGCAGTGAACACGACAACACGGATGATTGTATAAAGTTGCACTGATGACCGAGTGGTTCGCCGGTCAAATCTGCCTGAGCCGAAGCACGACGACATCTTCCCTGGAGGAGTCATCCTGTGGTACAGGAGGGCCTGGAAGGGAAGGTAGTCCACTTCATAGTTGGTCAGGTGTCCTGGAGGGCGGCGCTCTCTCTCAGGTCCTAGATCCAGGGTTGATATTGAGGGATGGACCTCGTGTCTAGTTACTGGACTGAACTGTGACGTTGGAGTTCAGTGGTTCACGATTAAAGCTGCAACTCTGTGATGTGAACTGCGACCTGGAGCAGCGTCACATGAAAGACCCATCACTATAGGCAAGAATTCTGCCTTTGATGTCTTTTCTTGACGAATTCCATGTATAAATTGTTTTAACTGTTCATATTTTTAAAAACATATAATATGCAAGACATTTGTATTCTGACCTAGCTTGTAGTCGTAGACCAGTGTTTTCAGTTGTCTTTGGGCAACGTCACCAATTTTTAAAATCAGAAAAATCCTGCAGCGCACCACCAAACAAAACTGGTTTACAATTTACTCACAATAGATTTAGTCTCTATGAAACCTGGGCCTGTTTAGTTGAACACAACACTAATATACTGTCAGGAATTGAAGAAAGAGACTTGGAAATTTTGGAATTACTGATGAAATGATGAACAATATATATAATGTCTGACAAGTGTACCCCACGAATAAATATAAATATGACAACAAAGTGCTGCTCCTGTGTTTTGGACTTTGTACCTCACTCTCCGGGTCAGAACGTCCTCCACAGAGACGAACAGTGGACGTCTCCTCACCAGCCTCTTGGTGCCGTAGTGCTTGTTTGTTTGGATCATGTCTGGCGAGCGGAAACAGACACAGCTGTGAACCCACTTCGGTGTTTTATGTCAACGTGCTGCTCACTGCCGTAGAGTTTGTTTTACCCTGGAAACTGAGCGAGTACGACTGCGAGCCCGCGGAGAATTCTACGACGTCTTTGTCGTTGATCAGATATTTGCGCTCCAGCTCGAGGCTGTCCATGTTGGCGGATCCATTCCCACCAGACTACGATGAAGACAAAGATGACAAATGTTGCCCTCAATATATTTCACCTCCAGCAGCTTTTTTTTAGCTTAGCCTTAAAGGTCATAATTTAATGCAGGGAATCGTAAACGCCAGTCATTCCTTCTAAGGTGATAACCTTTCATTTTACTGGCCTTCAGCCAATAGGAATACAAAGACAAATATCCTCCTGATGAACACGCAATGTTATGACTGGAAAGTTCCTGTAAAGTACACTGTGTTCACTAGAGTAAGATAAAAGACACTGAGCGGTTTAACTGAACTCCAACGACCGGTGCTCACTCATCACTAGTGGCTCTAATGACACTGAATTTACAGAACTCACTTCTGCAGATTTGACAAAAAGGAAAGGGAAATCAAACGCTGGTGATACTGGAAGAAAATTGGAAGAAAACACAGTAAACTGCTGTACTTTCACGGAGGTGTGGCTGCCAACAACTCACAGCGTACAGGTTCCACTGGGACTTCTCGTCCTCCCAGTACCAGAGCCACTCCGTGGTGTACATGTAGGTGGGTTCGATCACGGCGTTACAGGTGGAAAGGCGTCGCACTTTGTTCTGACCGCAGGTCATAGTGTAGAAATGCACAGGTTGACTGTTGCTGCTGCTGCTGCTAAAACATAATAACAAAAAAAAAAAGAAAAAATCCCCAGGACATTACAAGATTGAAAAAAACAAACAACAAAACCCTGGATTTTGTACATTACAAGATTGAAAAAACAAACAAACAACAAAACCCTGGATTTTGTGACTTTTGTGATTTTTCTGGGCATTTTTTTGCGGTAAATAAATAATAATTTTCAGACCAATGAGTGAAAAGTGAAATGGGATCATTTTCCACAGTAAAACTGATGATCTCTTAAACCATAGCACAGTGGTTGGAAATCACTTATTAGAGCAGTGATTCTTAACCATAGGGCCGTGGCCCAGAAATGGGCTGCCAGCGCCACCTAGAGGGCCGCAAAAAACGTTGCACCTGTGGGCTGCAAGGACTTCAGGGCTGCATAGGTTATCAACACCAGAGATACAGTATGTTATCCAGGGGAAGCTCAGTTACACACCTGTGGGCTGCAAGGACTTCAGGGCTGCATAGGTTATCGATTGAGGACACCAGAGATATGTTATCCAGGGGAAGCTCAGTTACAATGCAGCCTTCGTCCACATGGTGGCAGCAATGCATCAGTTAGCTCTTTAACAAACGCCAATACACAGAGAAGAAGACTGTCTCCTTCTCTACCCTAGCTGAAGCAGTAAGTTAGGAAGACAGAATTTTATCGTAACAATCCCGACTTCATCAAACGGAACCTTTGGTCAAAAAGGTTAAGAATTGTCTGGATTAAACAATATAATGTAGAGGAGTTTTTCTTGGGGATGTACTACTACTACTACTACGACTACTACTACTACTACTACTACTACTACTACTGTCAGTAGTTTGACTCCATGCTGCCATGCATGTCATTGTCCACAGTTGCTGTTACCTGCTCGTCTTTTGGGGGTCACAGTAGTCCTTCTCGATGCCTTCGTTATCAGGCAAGGCCTTCCACTGGTCCCCTTCACTGACCTCCCAACGGTACGGCATCTTGTCATGAACTTTGAAGCATTTGTCTGAGGATGTATCCACGGTAACGACAGTAAACGTGACAGTTGTTTCAAGGCGATCAAACGTCAGACTCTGGAGCTGCAGTACTCACCGTCGTCATGTTTACAGTGGCCTTTGATGAAAAACATACATATCTCCGTTTTCTCTGAAACAAAAGAGAAGAACCCTTTGATTTTTTTTTCTTTTCTGAAAGACAGTGTTATCTGTGGTCCTACCAGAGGTCCAGTTTACCTCTAACAGGTCTCGGTCTTGGTCTGCCATCATGGCTTGGTTTTTTCTCTTCCCTGCTTCCCCCCCTGGTGGCTGCTGAGGCTTCATTCGGATTGTTTTGTGATTTTCCATGGTCAGTGTTGCTGCCTGAATCGTCATTGGTAGCACCAGCAGCAGCAGCAGCAGAGGCCACGTCGCTGCTGGAGTTTGGTTCTTCCAGCTGACTGTTGTCATCACCCAGGCCGTCTTCAGTGTAGAGATCCAAGCCATCAACAGAACTAAGGATATCGCTGGTGGAAAGTGTCCTCACCATGTTGCTTCGTTCTCTTCCGCCTCCTCTGTTGCCCCTATGGCCTCTGTTGCCCCTGTTGCCTCTGTTGCCTCTGTTGCCCCTGCCGCCCCTACCGCCCCTATTATTAGGCCTCCCTCTGGACCACTCCCTTTGTTTGAAATTCAGGTCACTTTCCATGCTCGCACCTAAGTTGCTCAGAGCCATGAGGGGCTGCGGGTGTTGGTGGCTGCTCCTGCCGCGGCCATCGCCCGTCCTCTCAGAGAGCCGTATGGCATCTTTATTCACATAAACCACCTTCAAAGAGCCAATGAGGGTTTCCGGAATGCTGAACATCTGCAGGCGCCTCTGTGGCTGTGGAGCTTTGAAATCGTGGGTCCTGGAGCAACAGCAGTCGCCCGAGAGGTAACGCTCGCAGACGTGCAGCCTTTTGCACTCATCTCCATCCTTACAACGACCGAATTCCCCGTCACCGTTGTTGTAATCATGACAAATCTGACGGGGATGAAATAGAAGACAGAACAACTTCAAGAGCAGCGAACGACGTCATACGGCCGTAAAAAGAACGTTTTCTCCGGTTAATAATCTCAATATTTCTATAACTATATGTTACTAAATGGTAACTATAACTATATATATAAATATATGTACACATATATTATATATTTTTCTATGTTTCATATACAGTGGGACCTCGAGACACGGGTTTAATCCGTTCCACAACAGCACTCGATTGTACCCCCCCTTTATTAAAAATAACTAAATACCAATAATTCGTTCTCAGCTCCCCAGAAATATACTTTTAATTAATTAAATTAAAACGACTTCCCCATCTAAACATCAAAAACATATAAATAAAAACAAATATATTGATAATTTAAAATAATAACAATTAAGAGAACATTTTATATTGTTGTTATAAAAATGGGTAAAATAACCCAGAGCGGGAGAGTGGGTGAGACAGCGCCACAGTGTGTCGAGTTGAAAAAATGGACCTGGGTTGAGCACGGGGAACGTATCACGAAGAAAATCTAGCAAAAGTTGCAGACTCGTAACTTGAGACCCCACTGTATACACATACATACTGTATATACCTGTATATGTTTATCTATACTTATATCAACATATACTGTACATTTATGTGTTTACAAATGTATGTTTATATATGTATGTATATATATGTTTCTACATATATGACTTATTTATTCAATATGAAACCAGTGTCACACTGAAAACATCATCTTAAACTGTCTGCCTGTCACCGACAGGAAATATAATTGCGGAGCCAGACTTACAGAAGGCAGCAGCGTGTGGTCACACTGCAGCAGCAGCGTGCACAGCTCCGTCCTGCTCAGAGTCTCCAGACCGTGCTCCCTCAGTATCTCCTCATTCCGCTGGAGGTGCAGGTCGTGGCAGAAGATGCATGGTCTCCCGCTGGACAAGAGAAGAACATCAGCTCATGACGGTAAATGTTCCAATATGTTCAACTTTGTTCCAAAAAAAAAAAAAAAACAAACAGAAAAAATAAAAAAAACAAACAAACAAACAAATAAATAAATGAATAAATAAATAAATAAATAAAATTAATAATAAATAATAAATAAAAAAAAACCCATTGAAGTTCTGTATTAAAATGAAGAAGAATTAGGACAGAAAAAGATTCAGGACAGGCCATGTGGAGTCTGGTTTTGAGGGACAACATTTTTATTTAAATCACATTTGAATTTCTATTTTGCTCTTAATTAAATACTCCACCCCACTCCCCCGCCCCAAAGAGGCCTGGAGAACTGGGAAAATGTTTATCGTTGTTGAAAAATCTAGGATAGATTAAATACATACTCCCGCCAAAAATTCTCTTTAGACATTACCCAAAACACATCAGAGGTTTAAAAAAAAAACCAAAACAACAACTGACAGACACCTTATATCTAAAGTTGACCTCTGACCTCTGGTTTACTGACTTGGAATCAAAAACGCACTTTACGTCACACCATTATGAAAAATAAATCTAAATTAATTATTAATAATACTGTGTTTCCCAAACGTTTTTTTTTTCTGGGGACCCATATTTTAAAAGTCACAAAACTTCGTGACACAAGTCAATAAATGGGAAACAATGGGAAACATGATGCGAAACGACTCCCCCCCCCCCCCCCCCCCCCAAAAAAAACAAACTCAGACTGGTAATCTCCCCCGAGCAAGTACACACCCTAATCAAACATTATAGCTACTTAGCAACCCTGCTATCTCAGCATTGTTTATAACAGTGTGACGTAGAAAAAGCTGCCTTTATGACTACTGCCACATGACACCAGTTGTTGTGCCACGGTATGCTAACCGAGTAGCAATGTTAACAACAGGGTTGTCGCGAATAACAGCTTTTAAAAACTAGCCCTCGGCTAGCATCGCCCCAAATGTCCAAGAGTTAAAGAGACATAAAAGTGACGCAAACCACCGAACACATAAATTAAGAAAACAAAAAACCAAAAAAAACCCAATATGTATTATCAAAAGCAGATTAGAAATAGGCAACAGGTCTGACGTAGTTTAAATGTCTTCGAGAAACCAAGCGAGTCCCTGGAACCTGAACGCATCGCACGGTAACGATTTACGCAGAAAAATTTAGATGGTTTCCCGTGAAAAACAAAACAAAACAAACAAACAAACAAAAAAAAACTACAAATCAACGTCTAAATGAAGTTATTCTTTATTTATCCACACAATTCGAGCCACTGGGCTATAACGCCGTATTGCAGGCCAAATTAACACCACTGAATTTCAATGTAAATGTATTTATTTACTTCTGTACTTTTACCTGTTTCGGGTGTAGGTGCAAAACCCACTGAAGAGGAGGTTCTTACACAGGTGGAGGTCCCGGCAGACCTTCACACAGTTCTTCTCTCGGCACACTCTCAGGCTGGTCCTGGCCACCACCTTAGGCTGTCCACCCCGACAACACAAAACAAACTTGTCTTTGTTCGAAATAATGTCAGACGTGCTATCGTAGCCCACGTTATAAAGAAGCTCCTCGGTGTTTACTGCTCCCTGGTTGGCGCAGATGAACTTGAGTATTTCGGTCTCCATCGCTGCTAAAGTGACGGAAAAAAACGAACCCTTTTTGTCGTTGTGATTAAGGTAGGAGGAAAAAGCTCACTCTCATTTCTGATGATTGGAAACCGAAACTTAATTTTCCTAGCTGACCATATCGCACTAATTCCACATGTGCACACCAGGGGGTGCCAGTGTACCCCCAACGGGTCGAAATAAAAAAGCGCCTAACGATGTAGATTCAAATTGTATTTTTTTTATTCGTTGTAATTAATGATGTCGTCATAATTTTTTATATATTAGTATATATATTAAAATAATATTATATATTAAAATATATTAGTTATTTTTGTCGTGTTCCTTAGTATATTAGCTATATTAGCTATATTAAAAAACAGTATTTACATTAGGTTATTGTTAAAGTATTTTTAAACACGTTTAAATTTGTATGAGGAAAGAAAAACCAAAAGAAAATACAAAATCTGTTGATTATACCTTCTTGCAGTACCTCCTTTCGTCCAGGAAAGGGGGCTAACACACAGTTAAACGAAACCTAACACTTGTCATAATGATGACGTACAAACTGAGAAGTGACAGTTTGGTTCCAAACTAAAATAACCCCAGAGGTTTTAGTCAAACATTTCCTTGTTTTTCTCCTTTTTTTTATTTTAACATTTCTTAATAAAAGTAAAGTACTGACCAGGAACAGAAACACTCCAAACTAAATAAATCCTTACCGATACACAAAAAATATACATCCTAGTCTTGTTTGTCGATTCTAGCCCCTCTGAGGAAGGAACTGGAGTTTTTTTAGTAGGAGATATTTTTTTCCACTTTACCCGTCATCTTGAGATATTTTCTATCAGTTGAGACTAAAATGTAATCCTACTTGCTGAGACCTGTTACGTATTTACTGCAAATGATTTGTTCTTGTTCCTCTATGCAGCAGTGACAAGCAGAAAAATTAAATACTCTTCCACTAGGTGGCAGCAGCTGAGTATAAACACAAAATAAGAAAGCACTGTCGAAGAAATCTTTTTGCCAACTTTCTTCAATTCCCATGAGTATTTAGGTGTCGTGTTCAACTAAACAGGCCCATTATACTTTATAACATTTTTTACTTTTTTGTGATACATTGATTGTGATCGAGTGTGAAAAACTACGTTGACGCAAAAGTAAAACATAACATGAGTTTTTGTTCCTTGGAAGGTTTTTTTAATTTAGACAAATCCTCTAGCGTAAATTAGAGGTTTAACGTTACATGACATGTTTAAGGTAACAACTACTGCTAATGCTACTGCTAATGCTAATAACAATTGGCCTTTGTTTATTGTAATTATCTCTAACTCCAGTGTAATAACCTGACTAGGCACATGACAAGGTTATAAAGGTTATATTAGATTAAAAAAAAACAAAAAAAAACTTAGGTTTTTGTGGCTTGTGGTTAAGAATAAGGAACATTTTTGTCGTAGAACTGACTGCAAAACAAAAAACTTAGGTTTCCAAACATGTGGCTTGTGGTTAAGAATCAGGAACATTTTTGTCGTAGAACTGACTGCTGAGAGTCACCAAACCGACCAAACATAACCCTGTGGCATTGTGTCTGCTGTGGTTACCAACTTAGTCAATTCTGTCTGTTCTAGAGAGGCAATTGTAACCGCTATGGGGCAATTGTTGCTAGTTTTAAAGCACCCGTTTTCAAAGCTTCCATATTAAATATTCTAAAGAAACAAACAAAGGTCACCTGACCTGACACCATTAAGGCCAAGATGCATCACTGTGTCGTTTGGCGTTAGCCAATGATAACGATGCACTTTTATAATCTGACGTCATCTGGTTACATTAAACTCAACACAGAGAACCTTGTGCAGTCAGGAATCGAACATAAAACGTCCATGGTGTCAGGCGAGAGCACTGACCACTCGGCCACCGTGTGACCCCATCACTATAGCTGTGAGATTTAAATTTAAAACTCTTCCAGAAGTCTAGATGATGCTAAAACATGATTGGTCGAAAATATTTTGCAGCCAATCAAGGAACTCTGAAGGTTATTCTAGTTTTACGTCAAAGATGGAGGTTTGTTTTTGTTTTTTTATTTGGATACAGAGGCTATAGAATGCATCATGTCTATTATAGGAATATACAGTGTGTGTCGGTGTGTGTGTGTGTGAGGTTGCAGTGAGACCTGCTGCGATTTCCTGCTTTGGGTTTCCCTTTAAAAGGGGGCATGGCTCAATGCTGGGAATCCACGTCATTTCGCCGTTTTACACACATCCAGATCAATGAGAGAGAGAGAGAGGGAGGGAGAGAGAGAGAGAGAGAGAGAGAGAAAGAGAGAGAGAGAGAGAGAGAGAGAGAGTGAGAGAGAGAGAGAGAGGGGGGAGTGTGTGTTACCCGCCGCCGCACCGCGAGAGATTATTAACCAGCGCGCTGCCGCCGACATGTGAAAGGAAAATACTCGCTGCAGAGACAAAAGAAGTTTTCCGCGCAGACAGCAGCGCCATGGCCGGCAGATGAAGCTGTCGCTGCTGCAGGAGACGACACACGGACGCGCAGGAAGAAATAAAGAAAGTATTCGTCCCACAGCGACGAAGGCGCGAAGTCGCTGCAGCGCCGCCGCCACAGCTGCTGTCGCTGTTCGGCTTTTCCACGGACACGGGCAGAGGAGCCGAGAGGAGGGAGCAGAGCGGAGTGGAAGAAGTGGGTGGAAGAAGGAGAGAAGTTGAGCGGAGACCATGTCCGAATCCTCCTCCGCTGCGATAAAGGTAAAGCGGCCACGGTCCCGCCACCTCCTCTTTGTTTCTGTGTCCTTATTCTCCTCCAGGGACTCGCTCTCCCTCAACGACTCCTTCACCTCCTCCGCACGCGCACGCGTCCACTTTGTTTTGCTTCTCATCTGTTGCTTCACGCTCTGACTTCGCCACCGCCGCGCGGAGGGCAACAAGTCGTGACTGTGACGCGCACTACGTCTCAGTACCCGCCGCCGCACCGCGTGAACCGAAAATAATAAACAAAAGTGCGACAATAACGCGATGAATTGGATGATAGAAAAACGAAGACCTGAAGGAAGAGTGAATTTGTCCCATTTTTTTCACCTGATGAAAATCAGGGTGATTTTTAAATTAGCCCTAGCCTATTGTAGCGTGTTAATTTCACGAGTTCAAAGTTTACTTTCTGACAAGTAAGTACTTCAGTTCACTGAAGGTTTGGTTAGAAAGTGAAAGTGCAGTACAGCTGTTGACCAGTAGGTCCTGCTTTAAAAAATAGCGGCGTAAGACGAACCTACGGACTTAAAGTACTTTTATGTTTATGTTATACTAACAGTTTCCTGAAGACTCGGTTGGACTGTTTATAAATGATAGACACCTCCTCAGGGAATGCAGTTTAGGATGCAGTACCACCGTCGACCGGAGGGTGCAGTTTTATTATTATTATTCCTAAAAAATAATTTGAACATTATCGATCCCACACTGAGGAAAAATATTGTGTTGCTGCTGCAACAAGCTGCCTCTTGGAGGCGCCATGTATGTGGTTCCCCTGTGGCTCGAACCCAGTGTAAACTCAATGTTCTTGGACGTCCAACCAGCGTGGAATTCAATTCAGGCTAACAGATAGCGCTAGCTCTGTAACCTCTAAATCAAACTGCGGCCTTTGTTTTAACCACGTCATGTAAACAAAAGTGGACAGTAATCTTCATATTATGACACAAAACAGCTTTTGCGTGGTGCATTTAAGTGACACTTCACACTTTAAGGCCTGTGGGGAAAAGTAAACAAAACCTCGCAGTTCAAATGTCGTTAAAAGACAAACAAAAACCAAAAAACAAACAAACAAAAAAAACAAGTCCAAGTGAGAATTCTGTGTCTGTTTCGGTTCATGTGAGAGCTGCAGCAGTCAAAGGCCCGCCCCAAATGCTCTCATTGGTTAAGACATTGCAACAATGCCCAAAAATAAAAATAATAAAAAAGTTTGAAAAGTATTCTTGTTAAGATTATAATGACTTTTACTAAAGCAGTTCAATCAAAAAGGCAACTGGACTTAACTGGTTCTGCTGAAGACTGTGAAGGTCTCTTATCCAGGAAGTTTCTCCGGTTCTAGAACTGACTAGAACTAGAACTAAAAAAAAAAAAAAACTCTCCTGGATGACAGTCTGGTCGATCTGGAACTTTTATGTTATTTAAATTGACCTTTAACCCCGACATTTCCACCTCAGACTGTTTGTCAAAGGTATTTAAACAAAAATGAAATTGACATTTAAAAGGAAACGTTGTGTTGTTGATCAGTCTGATACCCTGAGAGATTATATGACCCTTTATTGACTTATAATGAGATATAGTGTTGTGTTTAGGTGGGAGGGGGGTCGGGGGGGGGTCTTCTCATTACTGAGTCTGATGTCACTACACCACTGCAGCAGGCCAGAGCTTCTCTCACAGAGAGGTTTTCCGTGGTCCGCAGACTGGACTCAGTCTAACCTTCATGCTACGTTTCGCTCCAAATACTTTCCCCGTCCGTGCTTAGTCTGACTAAACTGACCCCAGTCCGGCCTGGGTCGAGCGGCGGACAGCAGGAGCTGCCTTTCTTTATTTGGACAGTTGAGTTTCGGAGAGAAGGAACGAAGCCTCTCACCTCTGACAGTGGAGGAAATACTGGAATAAAGTCATTGTCTGGAGTGTGTTCCTGGTACGTACAGTGAAAGTATGTAGTCGTCGCGGTGGCAGACTGATACTGGCTGCGGTACAGGGCCAAATACTTCTTCTACTTCTTCTTCTTCTTCTTTGTTTCCTCCTGAAACTCAGGTGGTTTCCTGCTCTGTCCTCTGTCTGCAGGAAAGGAAACAGACAGAGAATGAGAGCAAAGTGGAAAAAGTCTGACTTTAGCCCAGATTTAAAAAACAAAACAAAACAAAACAAAAACGTCGTCAACGGAGACTCTCTACTTATTACTCAGTCAATAACTAGTCAGAGGTTTGGTTTATAATAAACTACCCGTAATGATCTCGACTTCGAGGGTAAGTGTCAAACGTCGAGACGCTCCTGCGAGTGGTGTCGCCGTCATCACCTGGACTGAAATCCAGATGCACTTTCAGTTTGAGTAAATAAAAAACAAACAAACAGTTGAATCGAAAACTGTTGCTAAGCTTCAATA